CCAGTTCCGCAGCCCCAGTGGCATTGGGAAGGGATCCCAGGTTGTCCAAGACTTGCTGCATGGCTGGGAGAGGGGCAGTGAGATGCTGAGTATCAGCTGGGCACAGAAAACCAAAATCCAGCACAAAGCCTCCCTCCCATCCTCTCAGCCCCACACAAGACACCTAGCAGCACTTCCTACCCCTCTCACAGACACCCAAACCCTTGTATGCCTCAGACAGAGATCCCAGGGCAGGCAGCAGTTTTCTTGACCTTTTTTTTTTCCACCCTAGACAATGCCAGCCTAGGCAAGTAGGAATCAGACCAAGGAGCAGGGGCAGGTATCCCATTTCCAGATTCTGCCCAGCACCAAAAAACCAGACTTCCCACTCAACCCCTAGCTGGGTTGAAACATGAGGACTCAACCACCTGTAGCTGGCAGGCCTGAGACAGTGTTTGGAGCAGGTCCCCACGTCCAGGCAGAGTCAAGCGGGCAGCGCTGCAGAAGGCCACAGCCAATGCAGCCCGGGTCTAAGCTACACACCACCAGCTTAGTGTGCCGCTGTGCAAGCCACTGTCCGGAGCCTCCGTATTTCCCTCCGCTCTGACAGACATCATTCTTTAGAAATTAATGCATGATAAAAAGTCAAAACTGGCCGGGCGGTGGTGGCGCACGCCTTTAATCCCAGCACTTGGGAGGCAGAGCCAGGCGGATCTCTGTGAGTTCGATGCCAGCCTGGGCTACCAAGTGAGTTCCAGGAAAGACACAAAGCTACACAGAAAAACCCTGTCTCGAAAAACAAAAAAAAAAAAAAGTCAAAACTGAAGCTTGGAATACTAGCAGGGGCTGGAGAAACAAGCACCCAGGAATGGCTGTGGGTACCAAGGGCAGAGGTCAAAAACCACATCGCCCCAGGGATGAACACTCTCAGCCTGGGGTGAGACAATAACCAAGGACATCAGCACACCTGAACCGGGCCTCTGAGACATGGGGTGGAGGCTGTCTTCACTCCTGTGTGAAGGTGGGCGGGAACTCCAGGGGGTTGTGGGAAGAAAAAAAGCAGTGTGCCCAGCTGGGAGCAAAGATGGGCAGGGGGTATCATTACTGTGCCACCCACGCCTACATCTGCATAACAGCATCCAAAGCCTGGAGGAGGGGGGAGTGGGGAAACAGGCTCCCTGGCACTTCTCAACACTCTTGTCAGAGCTCCCCTCCTCCAAAGAGTGAAGGTGGGCAGGAGGGAGCCCTAAAACTGGAGCTTGGAGAGGATGGCTCAGGGCTCCTGAGCCCCCCGTTTCTTTCCCGCTCCTCTTCCCCATCTTCTCCATAAACAACAGCCGAGCCTGCCTCCAGACCCTTCCTTTCCAGGCCTGGACGTCGCAATGACCAGAGACGTACAAGATCCTTCTTGGGCTTTCAAAGAAGCCAAGTCAGAGCCCTTCCCATTCTGCCAAATGTCCACAGTCTCCGGTCCTGCTCACTGACTCCCCAGACAACCAGCTATCGGGGTTGGGGGACTGAGCCTGGGGGAGGGGGGAGTGATGTCCTCTGCCAGATCAGCTCTTCTGGCCGGTGCGGGCGCCCAGATCTCCCCGAAGAGCGCCGCTGCCCAGGTGCCCCAGAGCCCACTATGGGAGGGTCAATTAAAAGGTGAGTGGCCCTCCCCTGGCCTTTCGACCCCACCTCTTCCTACCTTCCCTGCGGAGCTCTGCCTCTTCAGAGGAGCCCAGGGAAATCCCCTCCAAGGAAGCCCCACTGCCTGGGCTGCAGGCCATGGCGACCCCTTGGCAATCCTGGAACAGTCTCCCGCGAGGTCGGCGCCTTCCTAGCCAGACGCGGGCTGAGCTAAAGAAGGCGGGACCCTCGGAGCGCTGCAGGATCAGCCAATAGCAAGGCTCCGCCTCCTGGGCCGCCCTGTTGATTGGCCAAAGCCCGCCTGCTGGTGAGGAGGGGGCGGTAATGGGTGGGAGGAGGGCGGTGGCAGGAGAGAGTCATCCTAAACTGGCCTGATCCCTGTCACTTAGTGTCACCCGTGCAGGTAAGGGGGTGGCAATGAGATCGGGCTTGAGAGACTCGGGTAAGCCCCTCAGGACTGGGGTGGCCGGCAGAACTTGACTCCCAGCTTGCTTTCGCACCTCTCTCTTACGGATGTCCCTCCTCTACTTCATCGGAGGCTGATTCTCCTGCGCTGCACGCTCTGACCTTCACCCTCTCCCCCCCCCCCGACTCCAGGCTAGCTTCTTTACAGTAATCCCCTCAACCGAAGAAAGCCCTCAAGAACAGCTCTAGGCTCTTTCCCTGGTAGGTGCAGGAAGGCAGTAATACCGTTTTGACAAGAGGCAAAAATCTTAACCTCAAATGCCATCATCCACCCGAGCACAGTGTGGACAGTGGGTGGACAGAGAGACAGAACGGTGGTACCCATGGGACAGGACAGTAAAGGACCCAGCCCTTGAGTCCATCTTAACAGTAGCTTCTCCCTTTTTGGCATCATTATCCATCAGGTGAGAGAGGTGACGCCCTGGAGCAAGCCAGGTACCTTATAACGGGGGGGGGGGGGGGGCAGTGAGAGCCCATTTATGCAGCAAGAATAAAGGTGGGCAAGAGGGGGGGCCTTAGTAACTACCCTGGCCCTGTACCCCACGTGCACACATGTTTATCCATGAGGCCACTACCAGGGCATTGCTGCTGCTGTTGCCGCCACCTCCAGCCAGCCATTCCCAGAGGAATGGCACCAGGTCGCCTTGCACCCCTGGTTGCCATGGCAGCAGGCAGGATTACACACACCCGGACAGTAACCCAGGGATGGCAGAGATATTTAAAGGGACAGCTCCATCTGAACGCAGGCCCACATCTTCACCTTGATTCAAGGAAAGGAGTGAGCCCAGTGAAGAAAGAAGAAATAATGGGTGGGGCGGGGGGGGGGGGGGTGCTGTAAGTGAGCACAAGATGTCTAAACTCCCATCCTGTGTGTGACATCACTCACATGGCTCCCGAATTCTCCTTAACTAAAGTAAGGGTGGGCCTCCCATAATAGCAAGGGCCGTTTTGATCCATAGGGAAAGGATGGAGAAGGGACTTGCTAGCTCCACCTTTGCAGAGGATGTCTCCATGGAAACAAGAGGAAGTGGGAGGGGAACCTGACCTCAGATGAGGGGCACAGCTGTGTCTCTGTCGGACCCATGGGAAGTACAATGGCCACCAAGTGATAAGGAGCAGGATGTACCCTTAGATTTTGAGGCTGAGATGTCAACAGAGAGCTGGCTAGGAAAAGGGCACCCGTGGTATTTCTTCCTTTGGGTACAGAAGCAAAGAACAGTCCACAGCACTACATCTGGGGAACAGGGCACCAGGAGGTGTCTGACAACTCAGGCCACACCCATAGGCATGGACTCCCCACCCTGTGAGCCCCCACCAAGTGGCCTGCAGCTGGGAACCTTCTCCCTGTGCAGCCCTGTGGGTCACTGTTAATAGGTTTACTTGGCAACCCCAGATGAGAGCCTTTAATCACAGGCTCAGGGATGGGTCTCATTCATTCCTAAGCAGCTTTAGAGAGAGCTTGCTGGCGACCAGAGCAGGGGGAGAGGCCAGGGGGCAGGAGAAAAATCTGAGCCCTCCAAGAAGCTGGGAGACATTCCATGGGATGGAGAAAGAGCCTTTCTGGGCGGGGAGGAAGAGCAAAGGGCTCACAGCCTAGGTTCTGGCTGGCACACAGCAATTTTCATTTTCTCAGAGGGTAGGGGCAAGGATTCGTTCTATCCAAAGTGGGGACCTGGAATGTCTTGCAGAAGGAGCAGGATCCACTGTGAAGAATTCCGACCTTTCAGGGCATCTCACAGCTGTAGCCAGAGCCCTTTCAGAGCCTCTAGACAAGGAACCTAACTCTGGTGGGTCCCAGAAAACACTCAAGGGCTCAGGCACCCCTGGAGTGAGGTATAGACTTTGGGGCATGGATGCAGATGGGTGGGGGCTCACTGCTATCTCCAGAGTCTGGGGGATCTAGGAGCAAAATTAAAAACGTCAATCCCATCCTGCCACTTTATCTCAGAGGAAACAAGTCCTCCAAGGAAGATGCCTGACTTACAGGTCAATGCCATAACAACCAGCCACCATCGCCACCACCACCACAGCAGAGTGACTCTGAAAACTCCTCACAGCAATGAGTTCTCCCTCTCAGAGCCTTCAAGTGTCACATCAACTCTTTTAGAAGTTTGGGCAAGGCAGTTCCCAGCTGCGTCCTGGGCTTTTGCATCCTGTGTACTCTAAGGCTGTAACACCTACAGAACCTTGTGCAAGCATCCCTGGCTGGGATTTTTGTCTGTCTATTTATTCCTCGCTCGACCTGCCCTGCAACCCCCAGAAAGGCAAAATGTACTGTGGACTTCTCCATCCCTCCAACCTGTACTAGCCTCCAAATCCCAGACTCCCCAGCCACATCTGCATAGACTAAATGTACTGTGGACTTCGTCCCTCCAGCCTGTACTGGCCTCCAAATCCCAGATTCCCGGGCCACATCCAGGGGCACTTCCCTGCCAATCCTGTCCAGCTGCAGTGCGCGCCATTACTGGAGCAGGTGCCCTGGCCCTCAGGCAGGTGAGCTGTGCTACACATCCAGCGCTACCTGGAGCAAGCTCAGGTCTTACTCTGCTCTATTTTATCGCAGGGAGAAGGCAGCCTGAACGAAGGGCTGAGTGACTGAGTGTGGCATGATGGGGGAGCGGGTGTGAAAGCGCCCAGCCACTACTGCTGCCCCCACCCCCTTCTCCCTGCCCAGCCCCCTCGGGACCACTCGGGTAGGCAGAGAGCTTTACCCTCTTCTTACCAGACTCGGAGTTCGTGGCGGCAACTGGCATGCTGAGGTCAGTGAGGACTCTGGCGTCAGTCTCCTAGAGTGGGAGGGAAGAGGATGGGAGGTTACAAGGCAAAGCCAGGGAGGTGAGAGACTAGGAAGGGCATCCTCTTCGGGAACAGCCACGGGAGGAAGACAGCATCACCCAGAAATGGGGGCTTGGATTACAAGAATGACCCCAAGTGCCCTGGAAGGTAAGAAGAGCAGAGAGCATGCCCCTTCTCAGAGGTGGGAGAGACAGGAAGGATCAGAGAGGTTAATTACTTTTCCCCCAAGGCCCCAAAGCTGGTAGGAGAGCTACAGTGAAACCTAGGTTTTATGACTATTAAAAAAACAAGTATTTCTCACTGGACGTGATCATGTCCACCTGTGCTGTGTGGTATCAGACACTCAGGCTAAGGCAGAAGGATCCCCTTAGTCCAGGGGTTTGAGCCAGCCTGGGGAACATAGAGATCTCATCTCAAAAACAAAGCATAATATTCCTTTCTGGTTCTGGAGGGAGATTAAGTGTGAGTCCTGAATATAAGCCCAAAGCAGGAAGTGTCCCCAGACAGTAAGCTCCATGAGGACAAGAATGGACACCTCTAGAGCCCAGGCCTAGAACCTTTGGGTGTCCCATGAACACTGGTGTCCAGCTGACAGAAATTATATTTCCTTTCCCACTGTCCTTCTGGTCTCTCTCTCTCTCTCTCTCTCTCTCTCTCTCTCTCTCTCTCTCTCTCTCTCTCTCTCTCTCTCTCTCTCCCCCTCTTACCTGCCTAGTCCAGAGTTGGGACAGGGAGGGGGGAGGGTCTGCAGCCATAAACAGGCATGGAGTCTGGAGCCCACTGCCCACCCCAGGGTCTCCCCGAGCCGAGACTGGCTCCTTCATCCTCCCTGGAAAGGAGAACGGGGTGACCCACTACTCTTCCTCCCTTTGCCTTCCTGGGCATGTACTACTGGATAAAACCCTAATTCCCTAGTTGCCATGGCAACAGGAGGCAGTGGCTCACAGCAAGGGTGGGGGAGCAGGGGGAAGCAGCTGGCAGTGCCCACTTTAAAACTAAAGCCTCTTGCACCCCGGCAGGGGGAAGGGGAGCCATAGGGCCACTCCACCGCCCCCCAAGAATCCAAAGTGAGGAGCCACTACTGACCTTACTAAAAAGCCCCTCTGCGCCTTCTCTCAGGCCAAAGCTAACGGCCTCAGCCCTGGAGGCAGAAACCACCAGGGTGAAGGAATGGGTTCCTTTTCCTCCTGGATCTTCTCCAGAAAGAAGAACTGAACTTGCAGAGAGAGGAGGGGAACCCCTGGCACACTAGCACCACTGGCTGGGAGCTAAGTCCAGGCTCCACTGTGCGGGCTAGTGTCCCCAGTGCCAGCTGCCCTGTTCTTTCCTAGAGAGCAAGGGGCACGTTCTCATGGCTCGAACCGTGCTTCCTGGAAGAGAGGTGCTGGCGGTGGGATGAGATAGGGAAGAAGCAGGGAGGAGCCTGTATGAAACCCTAGGCTCGGGAGTCCTGCCCAGTGAGCCTGGGTTTGCTCCCAGAGGAGTTGGTTCCCACGGCATCGGCTCGCTCTGCCCCACCCCCACCCAAGCCTCAGAGAGGGCGGGGCGGGCCGTGCCCACAGGAGAACGGCAGTGCCAGGCAAGCTAGCCTGGTTCCATGCCAAGGTCCCCAGGCCCAGTCATCACGGAAACAGCACCTCAGCGTCCAAAAGCCTAAGCCCAGGTACCCTCCCACTCCCACCTCCACGCGCACATCCGCCACCAGGCTATCCATCTTTCTCCACCCCCAGGGTGTCTGTCTGTAGGTGAAGCCCGCCAGCTTCCAAGGGGGAGGTTACCTCCAGCCTCCCACCCACCCACCCCTCCATCAGTGCAGACACAGAGAGGTGCGAAAGACGAGCGCCTGACAAAGGCACTTTGGAGCCTGATAGGGTTGTGGGGAGGGCCGGACACAACTAAGATTTAGAGGATGGGGTCTAGGGAGCAGACGGACCTGCCCACACTCACAATCAGACCTCTCCCGCCCCTCCAAATCAACCCGAAGCCGCGGGGCGCTAGGACCCGGGAAGGAGGGGGCGTGTTGCGAGCCATCAAAGAAGGCTCTTTGCTCGCGCGCCCGCAGAGACCAGGGGGATGAGGTCACTGGATGACTGCCCCCACCCCACCCCCAGGCTTCATTTCCCCACCATCCTCTTAGTTGACCTAACTTTCTGACCCTGGCTCCTCGCCTCTGGCACCGATTCCCTCTGGAGTCCCCATACCTTAAACCCTGGCCCCCGAGACCCTGCAACCTCCCGCCCCTTGCAGCGTTAGCAAGGCGCCTCTTCCCAGGACCCCCTCCCAAGGAAGGTCAAGATATTGGCCTCTTGGGGTGCAGGGTGCCAAGGGACCCAACAGAGTCTCAGTCTAGCTCCCCCACGGCCGGAAGCGCCAGCAGCGCGGCCCTTACGTAATGCCGGCATCCGAAGTCGTCCCCCCCAACCCCAACCCTGCACAGACCCCGAGAGGCCGCGTGAATACCTGGGCTCCGCTCAGCTCAGCAAGCACCCCTGCGCCCGGTATCCCTCTGGAGCCCTCACTACTGGGATGGAGACCAGCATCCCTGGAATGAGGGGTTCAGTTCTCCTTACCCGCATCCCACAGAAAGAGAGAGCATGGGGGCTGCGGCTGGAGAGGGAGGGGGTCGGTTTGGGGAAGGGGCCCGGGAGTTTGGACCTGGAGAATTGGGTCCCCTAGTGCCGTGCCAGGTCGAAAAGGAGGCAGGGATCCTGAGGTGGGTGCTGGCCCGGAGGCCTGGGGATACCTACCTGCGTCTCGGGGAGCCCCTAGCTCCGGGCGACTCCGCACAGCCGGGCAACTCCACGGTTATTGCTTGTCAATCGCTAGCCGCGCTCTTAAAGCGGCGAGGCCGCCGAGGCGCGAAGGGGCGGAGACAGAAAGGAGAGGGCTGGGACGCGGAAGGGACACAGCAACCTCCCGACCACGGTACAGTCATCTCGCAGCAGCAGACGGGTGGGCGGGGAGGTCGTGGTTAGCAAGCACCTCAAAGCCCACGACCCCCAACTCGGAGAAGCACCAGCGTGTGTTACCTGGCACCCAGGAATTCTTTAAAAGGGCGATGGTGGGTGGGTGGGGAGCCTGAAGGGATCACCCCAACACACACACACACACACACACACACACACACACACACACACACACACACACACTAACGGGACCGCTTGGTCCAGCGTTCAGGTCCCACGCACGCTTTCCTGATAAAGTTTGGAAAAGGAATGGGACACTAACTCCCATAGGGGCTCAGCCTGGGGGCAGCGTTAAATATTCAGATGGCAAATATCTGCTTCCCCAGCTTCCAAGAAAATCTGAAGAAAAAAAAAATTTAAGGGACTGTGTCTTCATGACCAAGACCCTAATTTAGGCCTGGACGCATGGAGTTGATCCACGCCTCTGTCCATAGAATAAGGACAGAAGTAACACTCTCTCCTTCCTGAGTTCCATTTTCAACAAGTAAGTTGTGGCGCGTGGCTCCGTTGGTGGGTAGAGCGTCCTGGAGGCCCTAGGTTTTATCCCCAGCACCAAAAAAGAAGGAAACAAAGAGTTAAGCCCAGTAGCCCGCCTTTCTCAGCCTCTAGCTCCGCCCAGACCTGCTAGTAAAAGATACTGCACAGCCTCAGACTATCGGAGGCTGCGGTGTAGAAAACAGCATTCCTTCAGCTTGTACAACCCAGGTACTTCCCTGAGTTGAGGGTCCCCTACTCCCTCCGCTGCTAGTATCCGCTTATACATACCATGTTTGTCCTTCTGAGTCTGGGTTACCTCCCTCAGGATGGTATTTTCTAGTTCCATCCATTTGCCTGCAAATTTCATGTGCCTGAGCGGGCTTTGTGGAGCCCACTACTTATGGTGGGACAACTCTTGCAGCCTTGAGGCAGGAGGAAGGGCTTGGACTTGCCTCTACCGAATGTGCCTCCCCATGGGAGGCCTTGCCTTCTTGTGGATGGGAGTGGGAGGGGGCTGGAAGGGGGAGACTGGGGGGGCAGAAGGAGGGAAGAGGAGGATCTTTGATTGGCATGTAAAATGAATGAAAAAAAATTCTTAATTAAAAAAGGAAGAAAAAAGCCGGGCGGTGGTGGCGCACGCCTTTAATCCCAGCACTCGGGAGGCAGAGCCAGGTGGATCTCTGTGAG